AGCCAGGGACTCCTCCCAAGCCCATGTGACCCCTGAGGAACAGATCCTCAAATGGCCTTAAGAGTGAAAATAAACTGGTTTATCTGGGCCAAATGTATGGCCTTAAACAAACAAAAGGAAAGTATAACCCAAAGAGTAAAGGGGCCAATATAATTTTTTAAGAGTCCAGATGTATAGCTAAAGGCTACAAAACAAGCAACAATGCCATATAAGAGATACCTTCTTTTGAGATGTCGGACAGGGTAGCCCAAGAAACTCCCAGATAGTAACCCAGCACAGAACTGGGAAAATGAATAGCAGAACCCAATCTTACCTAAAGGAATATTGACAACTGATTGCTGCTAGATGAGGAAAAGCTGACCTTCCTAAAACAAATACCTCTAGATAGGCTGACTAGATTCACCAGATGGAAAAGTGCTGGGGAATGGTTGGGGGGTGCCGACAACACAGCAGACATTAGCTGGGATGACAGAGTATAAGGGCTCTAGTGTGAGGGGGGGAGGCTATGGGAGGGTGCCATCTGGGAAATGGGTATGTAGATGAATAAGATGGTTTGGGATGTTCTGTGTGATATACACCCCAAAACATCAACAAATTAAAATAATGAGTTATATTTGAGGAGGAAGCATAAAAACTTATGTCATGTAAATTAGTAGAGGTGATAAACATTACCATTGAAATCTACCTGATGACTTTATAGATATACACAGGTGCCAAGGATCCGAGTGCAACCGACTATGACTAGTAATCATCAGATACATACAGATAGAGACACATGTACCAACATCTAAGTGTTAGTAGCAAAAACAATGAGTCTTTCTGTAAGAAACAATATATTTTAAAATGAAATGGAGATCTTTTTTAAAAGTTAAAAACTCATTCAATTTTATGTCTTACAGGGTTTATACTGAGTTCAATATTGTATAATTGTATTAGTTCAACTGTGAACCTAAAAATTTTATATCCACTTTTGAAAGAGATGTATCTTTGCTCTAGAAATTGTTATTGAGTATGTTAAAGGTATTATGAAATGCTTCTTCTAAAAAATAAAGAATACAAAAAATGTTATATGTCACCAATTAGAAATAAAGGTTATAATATTAAAAAAAATAAGCTTCAAGTTGGAATTTAGCTCTATAAAATTTAAGTTTAGGGGCTGGAGAGATGGCTCAGTGTTTAAGAACACTGACTGTTCTTGCAGAAGACTTGGGTTTGAATCCCAGCACCCACATGGCAGCTAACAACTACCCGTAACTCCAGTTCCAGGGGATCCAACAGCCTCTTCTGTCTTCCACGGGCATTGCGTGACATGAGTGCGCTTACTGACATACAGGCAGTACACATATACACATAAAATAAAAATAATAAATAAAATATATTTTTTAAAAAAATTTAAGTTTAGTATTACGACTTTCATTCATTGATGCATGCCAAGGAGCGTTGCATTGGGGAACATCAAAGAAAGGGAAGGGGAAACATTTCACTGGATCCTCAGATGTACTATTTAAAACTTCAGTGCAACATATATAAATAAGAAATGGAAGAAATGGAGACATGAGAATATCGTGGTACTGAGAGGCCTAAGTATTTTGGAAGTGATGTTAGAGGAGGTAGCTTTGACCCCACAGGGTAGGTGGGCAAGGAAGATGGTGGGCACGAGGCCAGCTCTGATGACACCAAGGTGGCTTCTTCTCCCAAACCCTGGGAAATACTGACATGACCAGATGTCACCACAGTTCCACCTAAAGCAAATTCTTGCCTGGGAGGGAGGAGTCAAAGCAACAGTAAAAAAATAAGTCTCTCTGTGTGTGTGTGTGTGTGTGTGTATTAAGTATGTCTATCTACACTTTATATAAAAGAAGGTATACAAAGAAAATACTTTTTTAATGCAAAGAAGAGAATGTGGTTTTATCATTTCATGTTGCATTTCTTACTAGACTTGTGGAAAATCGTCATCATGGACAAATATAGAAATGACTAGACACTAAGCCATAGGAAACGCTGAATTTCACTGCCTAAGCTGATACATCTGGTGCTCCTTCTCCATCACTCTGCAACATGAAAATATTTGCAAGAAGAGGCAGGACGAATTGACAAAATGTGATTTTAAAATTCAATAAATTGTAACATATCTTGTAAAAGAAATGAAATACTTTTTATTGACAGACAAATCAATAGTCTGGAATTTTTTTTTCTTTAGATAACATAGTTATGAAATATTTCCATATGGTCCTGGGTAGTAAGGAGCATACATAGGATTTTTGGTTATAAAGCAATGTAACAGAGCCTTTAAGATGGCTTAACTAGTAAAGGCACCTGTAGCCAAACCTGACAAGACTGAATTAAACCCCCAGAACCTACATGGTGGAAAGAGAGAACTGACTCCCAAAAGTTGCCTCTGACTTTCATATGTGTGCTGTGGCATGCACACACACATACACATACATACACATACACACAAATAGGCAGCACACAAAGAAAGCATGTACATATATGCACACAAAATAAAGAAAAAATAATTAAAAAAAGAAGCACTGTAACATAACCAAAATGTCGGTATTAAGCATTATGCTTATGAAGTTCCAAATAATGGAATGATTCTTTGAGTAAGCATTACTATTTGGTTTTTATGAAACACCAAAACCACATTTTAATAATTGGATATTATTCAGTCATAAAAAGGAATAAAGTGCTAATACATGCTACATCATGGATGAACCTTGAAAAAAATCATGTTAAATAAAAGAAGTCAGACAGAAAAGGCCACAGGTATATCAGCTTATAAAATGTCCAGAGCAGTTAAATCTAATAGAGACAGGGAGTGCATTAATGGCAATATTGAGGTGGTTGGGAAGGAAATTAGGGGATGACTCTCCATGGACACAGGTTTCTTTAGGGATGAAGTCTGTACTTGAAATAAGTGTTCTGGGTAATTGCTCAACCATTAGAATATGCTAAAAACATCACTGGCTTGTATATTTTAAGTGGGTACCACTTATGTTAAATGCATTATTACATACCAGTTTAAAGAAAACATCCATATTTTAAAGTATACATCTTTAATAAAATTCCATTTGAGCAGGAATTGCTATTAAAGGAATTGAAGGCTAACTTCAGTTCTATGTCTGTCTAAAAGTTGTACAGTGAAGGATAGTGAATAATTTATTATTATAGAATCCACTACAGAATCCTCCACTATATTTAAGTTAATACCCTTCTATCCATGAGGAATTTTGATCTTTTTATTTTACAGGGGAAGGGTATGTTGACTTTTTATTACTTGTACTTGTGCTTATGAAAGTTCAGGGAATTTCAAACCCACAGATGGGTTCCTCAAAGAACTGACAAGTCAAAACACTTACTACAGTCTATTTCGAGTTTCTTGGGGCTTCCTTAGCTCTAAATGAAAACGCATGAATTTTATTCCATCTCCTTGAAATGATTATTTTTTCAAGTGACAAATACAAATTCTACCAAAATTGAAGCCTGATATGCTTTAGAAAGATAAGATCTGGACAAAACATAAATATATGGACTTTTTCAAACCACGACTTTAAAATATGTGTGTAAGACACAAACTTCCTTACAAGTAAATATCAATGAAAATCTTCCAATCTGAAAAGAAACTACATGCAACATGACATTCCCCATAGATTCAATAATGCTATATTATGTTTTATATTATGACTGCTGCTTTTAGCACTATCCATGCCACTAAGGCTTTGTACTCCTTTTGAAAATTGTGGCTGTACTGTAAGCTCCAAGGTCCAAGGGTTGAGTATAAATTTTGATTTTTATATTGGGCTCAATGACTATAATATACAAACACATCAGAGTCCCAAATCTATTATATTTTGGACATTCATTAAATACATCACATTACCTTATTTTCCATGGCAAATCACACACACACACACACACACACACACAAACACACATTAGATTGCCAAATGACCAAAATGACAATGAATTTCATAATGTAATCATGTCACAGATTCCTACGCACATGATGTCCTGAAGTTTCATTATGTGCCTGTTTAACATGAAGGACAATGCTGTGGTACTCACAGTTGTAACCAGGTGTGATGCGGTGCTGAGCTTCAAGGCTGGCCAGTGTGATGTGGAAAATGATGTGCAACACCAGGAAGGAGAGACTGGTGAAGCACAGAGACTTCAACAACCGCCCTGTGTGTCCTGGGGAAGAAGCACAGAGAGTGAGGAAGAGCTAGCACATGCTGTTATTACAGTGAAGCAAGACTGACTGACTCAAAAAAACAGGAAATGTATCCATTTTTATCTCAATTATAAGTCTATAGCTAAATATCACATTTTATTTCCTTTGTAACATTATAATTGGATTTACACATCAAAATTCACTAAGAAAGAAATCACACTTTCTTGTTTATTATATGGCTTGCTACTATGGGATCTCAAAAAAGCAACGGCTCAGGGTATTTTATAGGAAAATGCCCCCAACTTAGAAGGAACAGATAACCTTACCTTATAAAAGTAGTACAAAAAAGTATAAAAAAAGGGAAAGAAAATGGCCTAAAATACTTTATGAAGTTAAGATAAACTTAATTTCAAAATTAAATAAGGTTAAAGAAAACTTCAAGTCAATTTTACATATGAATATAGTCATAAATTATAAAAAATTGCTCACCACTGAAATAGAGTAAAAATTAGCACATCATAATAAGCCAAAGTTTGCTGTAGCAATAGGTACAAAAGTGAATGAAATTGGTGCATCCTTATAGATACTGAGGTGTGCTGCAAATCTATAGGCTAAATCAGAACAAGCAAAAACATAGGTTTATTATGGAGAAGTTTTAAAAGTCAAGTGGAACAACATTGCTCAGTAACAAATCAATTTATTTATATTAACTAGACACATGTCCATGTTGATCCTACAGATCAGGAGGGAAGACAAGGAAAGACATTAACAAGATGGCAGCATAGCAGGCCATAGCTGTCATCTTCCACAGAACTATTATTTTGGCAGCCACTCTTAGACGAGAATACCTGTGGAAGCCCCAGAGGCTAGCTGAGGTTCCATCACCCCAGAAGAAAGAAATCAGATGTAAACATGTTGAAAGGGAAAGAAGATCAATTTGACATTACTCATGTTGTCGCTGTCTTCCCCACAGCAGAGCTTCGTGCCAGGAAAGGCTTTTGGGCTGCACTTTCTCCCGTTGGGAAAAGTGAGATTGATGTGAGTGCCGTTTCCTATTCCTGCAGGATTCTAGACAAGACAGTCCACTTCTGTGTCACTCTACCCAGAATATTGAAGGGATAAACCAGTGAAAACCAAGTAGAAATACACAATAAAGTGATAAATAGGAAAGAATCAAATAGAGACTTGAGCTCAAGAATAGAATACCTGAAAAGAAAACTCCAGTAGAGAGCTTCAATACCAGATTAGATTAAGCAAGAAAAGTAGAAAACTGCCAAACAAATCATTTGAAATTATCCAATAGGGAAATAAAAGCAGAAAAGTGTGGGGAAAGTATGTGGGGCTGATAAGACACCAGCAAACGACTCATATGCCCATTATGATGCCAGGAAAGGATGAGAGACAGAGAATGAGGAGAAAGGTTTATTTAAAGAAATAACAACATAAAAGTCCTTGGATTTGGAGATGTAAATGAGTACACAGATTCAAAAAGCACAAAGTAGTCCAAAATGGTTGAATAAAAAGAGGTCATTACAGAGAAATGAATTATAATTAAATTGTGAAAATAAAAAATGAGGGCAGTAAGGGAAAAATGGTTTGTCATACACCAGGGCACTTCTAGAAGACTATCAATGAATTTCTTATCAGGAACCTTGCATGCCAGGAAAGACTGGGATAATATGCTCAAAGCAAGTGCTGAGGAGACCCTGTCAACCAAGTACTACAGTAGCAAAGCTGTGAATGAGTAACAAACAGGAGACAAAAACTTTCCCAAATAACCAAAAGTTCAGGGATTGTATCAGCACTAGAGCAGCATCTCAAGAAATGCCAAAGGCAGCTCCTCTAAAGGAATGAAGAGACACTAACCAGCACTCTGTGAATACATAAGAAGATATAAAACTCACTGGTATCCACAAGAGTTGAATTTAGAACACTTATAAAAAATAAACTCTCAATGTAGAAGTTAAAATAAAAATATTAAAAATAAATATAATTACAATAATTTTCTCAGGCACACAAATGTGTAAGGACATAAATCATGACAATAAGAAGATGGGATGTGATGAGAATGCAGCTGTTACATGTGATTGAAATCAAGTTGTGATTGATGTGAAGCAGATTATTGTGAGTATGAGATGTTCCATGTCAGCCACATAGCAAATCTTGTAGTAGATAGAAAGAAGGAGAGAAGAATCAAAGCAGACAATTATACACATGAAAGATATGTATTCAGAGAACCATAAAACAGTGATGAAAGAAATTAAAAAGGGGTAAGTTCATATATCATGCCCACAGACTAAGAGCACAAATAATGTTAAAAGGTTCATACTACCCAATGGAATCTACAGATTCAACACAATTTCTACCAAAAATTCTAATGCCATTTTTCATAGAAATGAAAAAAAATTCTAAAATTCACATGGAACTACAGAAGACCCCGAACAGCTTGAAAAATCTTGAACAATTACAAAAAAATTAGAGGGACACATCTCCTAGTGTCATGTTCTAAAATTATAGTAATTAAAACAACACAATATAGCATGGAAGTAAGATACACAGACCAGCAGAACAGAGACCAGAAATAAACACATATATATGGGGGTCAAGACATTTTGTATGAGGTCTTTAAGATTACCCAGTGATGAAAGGAGAGTCTATTCAAGAAGCATTGTTGAAAACCAGGTATTTAGCTGCAAAACAATGAATTTGGACCTTTATCTTGGATACTAAATGCAAAACTAAAATGGATTAAAAATCTGAAACTGCAAATCATCTAGAAGAAATCATAGCGGGAAAGCTCCTTCATATTGATTTTGACATAGGCAGCAAAAGCAAAGCTAACTAACATGGGCTGGGCTATAACCCGGCTATAGCCCCACGTTTGCCAGAAAGGTCTCACATCCAGAAGGTTCTACAACCTTTTGGAACCCAACAGCACTACCAGGTAGGGAACAAGTATTCACATACATGTGACTATAGGGGATATTTTACATCAAAATCTTATCACTGGAACTGCAACAAACTGAAAATCCTCTGCACAACAAAGTTAACAATCACAGATGGAAAGGTTACCTACAAAGCAGCAGAAAGCATTTGCAAGCCATGAGTATGATAAGGGGCTAGTATAAAGATACAGAAGCAGCTCGTGTAACTGAATAGTGAAACAGATAATTTTTTTAATGGATAAAGAAACTGAATAGGCATTTCTTCAAAGAAGACACACAATACACAAGGGGTATACAAAGAAATGCTAAATTAGGGGCTGGAGAGATGGCTCAGCCGTTAAGAGCACTGGCTGCTCTTGCAGAGGACCTGGGTTTCGAATCCCAGCACCAACATGGCAGCTAACAACAGTCTAAACTCCAGTTCCAGGGAATCCAATGCCCTCTTCTGTCCCCTGCTGGCACTGCATGACATGGTACACTTACATACATTCAGGCATAACACTCATACACATAAAGTAAAAAATAAATTTTTAAAAAGAAATGCTAAATTATATTACTGATAATCAAAGAAATGCACAGCAGATCCACAACTGAGATATCAGCTCTACTTATCAGTCCTATTCAGATCATAGCAGAACTGATGTCTCTTCAAATGTCATGCTGAATGAAGACAGTATTAAGATATGAAGACTTTAGGAAGGAGTTAAAGCATGAGAGCAGAGTCCTCATAGACAGTTTCAGACTCTTGTAAAAGGACTTAAGGAAGATTCATTACCTTCCAGTCCTTCTACCATAAGAGCAGTGTTCTTTCCTACCAAGGATGTAGCAAGGAACCATCCTGGAAACCCTCACTAGGGGTATTGGGACCAGAGATCCTCCTCTTTTTCTCTTTGTTTCCTGGCCACCATGAGACAAATGATCTTCTCCTACCAGTGTGCACCCACTACGATGTATTGTGCCACCAAAGAACCAAAAGCAATGGAGGTAACACACCATGGACTGAAACCATGGGCCAAAATTAATCATTTCTGTTATAAGCAGATTCTTTTTGGCTTTTGCTCAAAGTAACAGGAGGAGGACTAATACATATATCTAGTAATCCTATTTCTGGAGACAGAAGACACATAGACACACAGACAAGTAGACATACACATAGACATGCATGCACACACATACATGCACACATGAATTGTAATCAAGATTTCAAAGACATGATCACTTTCATGTTCACTGCATCATTCTGAAAAAATAATTAAGATACAGAAGCAGCCTAAATATTCATTGTGGGATTAATGGATAAAGGAATTGTGCTATATGCACACAATATAACACTATGCCACCCTCACTACAAGATCCTACCATTTGCAAAATTATAAATGGAACTGGAGAGTAATACATCAAGCAATTTAGGCCAGGCACAGAGAGATACACAATGCACTTATACATGAAATCCAAAATAGGTAAACTCATTGAAGCTGAGAGAGAATGGTGGTTGCCAAGGAGGAGTTTAGGGAACAAAACTGGTGACACATGGTTAAAATATACAAAGTTATCCAGTCACGGTGGCTCATTCCTTTAATCCTGGAACTCAGGAGATTTAGGCAGGCAGATCGCTATGAGATCCAGGCCAGCCTGGGCCTGGGATGATTCACATGAGTATCAGGCAAGCTGGGGCTACATAGAGAGACCTCTCTCTCTCTCTCTCTCTCTCTCTCTCTCTCCCTCTCTGTCTAGGTAGATGATAGATAAATAGATAGATGATAAATAATATATGCATATATGTATCTATCTACACATATATATCTCCAAAGTTATGTACGATAAAGATATTCTGAAGGTCTGTACTTCAGCACAAAGCTTACAGCTAATGGTAGTGTATGCGCTCTCTTTATATATATATGAATATGAACATAGATGGATAAATGCTAGATATGTATACATGTGTGTATACATCTATCTATCTATCAATCATCTATCTATCTATCACCTATCTATCTATCATCTATCTATCTATCTATCTATCTATCTATCTATCTATCTATCTATCCAAAGTTATGCAAGATAAAGATATTCTG